AGATACTCAATTTGCTGAAAAATTTGTTTTTCTTTGGTACAAAATAATGATTTGAATTTTTGTAACCTGCCTTATGAGATACAATTATCCCATTGGCAACTCATAAAAATTTATCAGCCTGCATTTAAATCTAGTGTAATGCTGACAAATGTTGTTGCCAATTCCAAATTTTCATAAATTTAAGCTGTGACTACAATAAGTTATTAGTAGTTTCTTTATCATAAGTTGCAAAATAATAAGTAGTTTTTTAATGTCACAAAATTTATGGTGATTTGATATTCAATTTCATTTCACTTTTTTGTACTCAGAGATATTATCAAAGGTAAACACAGAACTAGATTTGAAATGATTTTTTAAGTAAAAAATATTTTATCAATAGGCGAACCATCGAAAACATCAACAAAATGAAATATCTATAGACTTTGCCTTATTGTAACTGGAAAAGATTTTTGATGCTAAAATTCGCAGTGGCAAACGAATTTTCTTTGGATCAGAACACAGTTTTTTGACTCAAGAATCCAGTATCAATACAAATCACTGAACATTTAGGCTTAGCTTGAGTTGGTGGACCTTTAAGCTCTTTTCTATCAATTATGATCAAATTGCAACTTAAATCATTGTGCAAAAACACTCTTCAGGTTAGTCTGATTACTCATATTTGAAAGCGGGGTTAAACAGGCAACATCGATGACTATGGTGATACCTTGTTGTGGTTATTGATTTGTAAATTTCTAAAATATCACAGTTTGGCCTTGGGTACTTACAATTGACATATCTGCTGTGAAATGTGCTTAATTTTTTCTTCTACATTCTATGACCATTGAATTATCACTTCTTTTAATTTGTTATAGGTACAGATGGAGATATATAATAGGGATATAGGCCTCCGTGTAAAATTTTTACAGTGTTTTTCTGTTTTCATGATTTGAGAAGTTGCCTAAAACAATGCCATGACTTGTCGTGTGTACAGGTCTTGGTACTATTGGTGGCTTTTACAAAAACGGTTTCTGTTGTCTTGCAAAGATGTGTTACATGAATTTGTCTCTTTTGCCAGAATCTTTGTTGATATCTCGAGAATCAACCTTACCTAAAATATTCATAAATGTCTGGAGGTTTCACATTGAAGAAGGCTGATGTTGTGGAGCGATATAAACATGTCAGGGCATTTCTTAAAAGGGCACAAACTACATAGATTTTCCTAACAGCATTCATTCCAATTTTAAGGTCTTTCTTAAAATCTATAAATTCAAAATAGTTTGCAATGTCCCCAAAACCCATTCAACAGCTACACGAACCCTACTCATTGAGTTATTCAAGGCTTGTTCATCTTCTGTTAAAGGTCTCCTTCTTAGGATAGGACTTTGCAGGTGAACCCTGTTTGGATGAGCAGGATCACCATACATGCAGGATCACCATATATGAATTTTTTAGTACTAGAGACTGGTGAAAAATTAAGAAACTTTTAGTACGTTTCTTATGAAAAAACGTGTACCTATAATTTTGTGGTTGTTTTGTTTATTAGGTGCTCTCTTGCAGGAACATGAATAAGGCCTCTTTGGGTTAAAATGAATGGCAAGCAAGCCATGCTGAACAATGTGAAATCAACCACTTCATGTTATCAGGAGACACGGAGAGCAAAGTTTCCATTGCATTTTGAGAATACAAACAATCCTTATTGTTTGTATTCTCATAGTAGAAACATGATCCTTGATTTTGAGAATACAAACAGGTGAATACTCCAGCCATTCTTTGGAGGTGAAGAGAATGAAGAAAAGGCAATCAAAGCCCTAACCAAGGTGTTGATAATAACATTCAAATTAGAAAATTTGGCCTTAGGCTTCATAGAAGTATGATTTCATTAGGGCATCATCAGATGGAATTGGAAGATGCAATTGTTAAAAAGGTTCTTTGATAGAAATAAAGTGCCCCTTCAAGAACAAAGAAAAACTACCAATTAATAATATTTAGAGGATCATACATTTTGTTTTGGCGATGACTTGCATCTCAAAGAAGACTATCCCTATATGACACAAGTTCAGCTGCAAATGAATGTCCACGAAATCTGGAAATGTTACTTTGCAGTCTGGAATCCACAGTTTCGTTTTTTACAGAGATTCAGTATAATTGAGCCTTTGATAAATGTTTGCAAACATTGGTCAAATTCCATTAATTCGCACAATGCACCAGAGTTGCTTTCAAGAAAACTCAAGCTGGAGACTGCTCAAAAGAAATCGATTGCATAGGATAGCAATGCTGAGTACTTTGCATCTGTCAGCAGCCAGAATGCTAGGATGTTGAAATAGTAGGATGCGACAATCTATCATCCAAATATAAGTGGTTCCACTTTACCTATATAAAGCTAAATAAAGCCACCAAACGGATGAAAGCATTAAATAGAATGTAAGAGACAATTTTCAACCAACTTTTCTTTCTATTTTTAAACTGTTTCATGGATGTATAAGCCACAATAATCTGTTTTCATGTGTCAATCTCTTTCTTCTTCATTGCCTTCCTTATATACAATGCTTCACAAAAGATTTATCAAGCATGCATATACTGTAACTAATTTTTATTATACTGTAACTTGTAACTTGTAATTTGTAACTAATATACTGTAACTGCATATACAGAATTTTTATTTTCAATTTTGGAGGAGTTGTATCCATGACTTCATTGCTTATTACCGACAAACAGGGTGTGTCTCAGCCTTTTGGAGTGGCCATAATATTTTTATATGTTTCTGTGTGTTTCTATTTTTTATTATTCAGAATTCTAAATTTTCAATTTGAAGTATTTTAGTGCATACTCGGAAAGTTAAGCTGTTACAAACATTTTAGCACCTCACAACTTTTTGAAAAGATTATAATTATAGTAAAGAGTGAGGAAAATTACGTTCTGAAGGAAAAAGTGCCCTCCTTCAGGGATGCCCTTGGTGAGCAATGCCGAGCTAAGATCAGCTTGTGAACTGATTGGAACAAAAAAAGGCAGTGTTGAAGACAAACGCAAGGAACTGAGGCTGGACACTCCGTGTGATAGTGTGTGGGAAATTTACTTATATGTTGATGTTTTGTTTTCTTGGTATGTCTTAAGCATGCTCCTCCCTTTGAAGTTAGTTAGGGGCAATTCTATTTGTTACAGCCTACGTATTACAGAGTAGTACAAGAGAGAGCACAGCACCCGCACAAGCCCGTTGCACTGTCATGTCGTCAAGCCTTGACTCGGGTGTCTTTTAAGCATCAGAATCATTGTCTTGAATCAGGGAAGAATCTTGAAATTTTCCTGGTTTTCTCGTCTGAAAAGATAAGTAGCATTGTTTTTTCTTATCTTTGAGATTATTTTGTGCAATACACGCTATCATGAATGATGAGAAAAAACCTTTATCACGATGGAGGAACCGCCCTTCTCTGACTCCAATCAGCATGATGGTTCTACTTTGGACCAGAATGTTGGTTTAGTTTATCTTTTGCTGACTATGCGACAAAGCATGATTGATAATAACAGAATTTTACATAAACTGACAATTCAAACATGTTTTGACCCGTCTTCTATGACCCATTTGCCCACCAGGCTTCCGAAGGAACAAACACACCAGCTTTAGAGGAAACATGCACGTCAGCTTCAGAGGAAGCAAATGAACCAGCTTCAGATGAAGCATTTACAATATCCAAGAGAAAAAGTGCTAGGATTGGTGCAGAAGATCCAATGAGTCTGCTTGTTGGAGATGACTTTGAAAATGAACAAAACCCCTGCTGGTGATGATACTTCAAAAAACTTAGTGAGGGCCTTGTAGGACTTTGAAAATTTCAATATCTTGCATTTAATACAAAATGAGTTATTTGGTACTCTTTGTAACCCTACTTCGCTGGCTATTAGAAACGCAAATATCTGAAGATAAGTCCTGTTTTCTTTTACTTTTTTACAGAATATTTCCATTATATATCCATTATATATGTTTCCAAAAACCAACTATAAAAGGGAACAACGCCATAATGATAGGTGCAACAGAGCTTTAAACTTTTAACATGCATGTCTCCACTGACGTACCTATACTCAGCTACTGTTGACCTAAAAACCTCTGGGATATTTTGGTTCGTGAAAAAACAAAAAGTGACACACCCAGTAATCCCAGAGGCACTTGCAAATGCCACTCACGACGTAACTGCATTCGGCTTTAAAGTGAGGTGCCGCCTGATTGGTCAATCAGCGCGTGCCTAAATACGTTGGTAGCAACGAGGCGCACCAGAATAAATGTCAACAAGATACTGCGGTTGTAAACATTCGAGCTGAGCTGACGTCTATATTAACAAATTTTTTTCCAAATTCTTGCTTTTACAAAGTTCACTTGGCGTATTTATATCAATTAAATCGTGCTTTGCTGTTCTTGATTTAGTTTGTATCAACATACTCCATCGTTGGCCCGAAATATCAAGTTAGGCCCAAGATGCCAAAATTCTGTTCAGTGTTTGGTTGTAGCGCCTCATCAACCTCCTTGGATGAATCTTTTTTCCAGTTCCCAGCCGATTGCAACACAAGAAAATCTTGGATTGCTAGAGTAAGGAGGGAGGGATTCACACCATCTTCAAGCTCTTATGTGTGTAGCAAACATTTCTCGTCGGACCAGTTCACAGAACCAAAAAGTGATGCTCCTGAAAAGTTTAGGAGAAAACGACTAAAGAAGGGTGCGATTCCTAACTTAAATCTTCGTATTCAGCTGACGAGCGTGTGTCAAAAAGGAAGACATTGGCTTCTATGAAGGCAGCAATGCCCATAACATCGCCTACTGCATCTACGACAGTGCCTGAAGCTGATTCGCAGAGTACTTTGCCGTTACCTGATGTTACGCAACCTTGAGGGTATGGTGTCGGATTCGAGGAGGCAGAGACCGATTTCTTAGAGTTGAGATCAATAAAAGCCAAACTTGCAGCAGCTGTGGATAAAATTTCTCAACTTCAAAAAAGCTGCTTCTCGTTTTCTAATTTGAGTGACGATGATGTTCTACGGTATACAGGGTTACAAAGGCCATTTTTCAATTGTTTGGTCAGGCTAATTGATAGGTTATCCCCATTAAAATACTGGTCAGGATCAGCTGTCATCTCTGTCTCAAAAGAAGACCAACTGCTCATGTTCCTCATGAAACTTAAATTGGATTTGCCATACTTTGATTTAGCTCGAAGATTCATGATCAGCCAGATCAGCGTACAAAACATTTTCATGACATATTTACATTCCACTCATGAAACTCTCTTCAGGGTATGATAACGGCATTGCCAAGCATTGAAAAGAATAAATGCAGTCTTCCGGATTCCTTTGGTGACTTCTCAAACTGTAGAATAATAATTGACTGCACAGAATTTAGAATTAGTGTGCCAAGAAAAGACCTTGCAGCTGCAGCCTCTTCTTTTAGCAACTACAAACATTATTTGACAGGCAAGTTTTTGATTGGTGTTGCTGCAAATGGTGCAGTAACATTTGTAAGCAATGGTTTTCCAGGAAGTGCCAGTGGCAAGGCTGTGACAAAGGACAGTGGCATATTGCATCATTTACAGGTGTGTTTTATACAACTAAAATTACAGTATAGTAGAACCTCTCCATACTTAGAACAGGATACTAAAAGTATGATGTCAAATTTCAAGTATATCTGCAAGCTGTGTATGTCATGTTTAAAACTTCCTTTGCCCCTCAATGCCATTGATTTTTTTGCAAAGATTCAACATTTGCAAATAATGTTCCAGTGTTCCAACAATTACAGTCCTTATTCTGTCAGAGTAAACTTGAATTAGAGCCTAGCCTCCTTTTGAAAGGAAAATTTGTTGCCATCTTTGTGACAACATCACAGTAATTCTCTTCTGAATATATTGTTTATATCATATGTATGTATATTCATTATCTTTCTACAGGCTGGGGATTTAATTTTAGCAGACAAGGGACATCTTGCCAAAAAATGTGTTTTTGAATCTGCCTGCCTTTCTTGCTGGCAAATCTCAATTTACCAAGGAAGAGGCAACATTTTCAAGAAAACTGGCTGGTTGCAGAATACATGTTGAACGAGCAATTGGACGAATAAGAAACTATAAGATCGTCAATCAGCTGACTGCCCCTTTAAGGTCATTTGCAGACAAGATAGTTCAAGTCTGTGCTGCTCTTGTGGATTTGCAGTCACCTGTTATTTCTGGAGTATTTGACAACTATTCTGCTTCAGTTATTGTGTCTGATTTTGAAGAATGATAATATAAACAATAATATACAGCATATACTGTAAAAATCTACACAAAAGCTGTTCCATACCTAAGCTGAATTTATAATTTTATGCAACCTAATGAAAAGCATGCATACAACCCAAATCCAAAAATCAATTCAAGTCGGGGGCAATAACTGGCCTTTGTGCTATGAAAATATTTGATAATGAAAAGTTTTTTGGGTATCTGAGTCAATGCTCCAGAAATGTTGGCTAATTATTGAATATTAAAGACTGTCTCATTTGACACATGATAATTTAAATTGTTACAGTATAATGATACACAATGTAAAACGGGCTGATGAGAGAAAAGTGCACCTTATGTGTAGGTTAATACAGTAGTATGTAACTTATTACAGTTGGAGGTTTATGTCAGTTGATACTGTTATTTTTTCTTGTAAAAGTTTGTTATTGTTTTTAATTTAGAATAAAAAACATGTAATGATTTTAAGTCATTTTATAGATAAGAAATGATAGAAATAACGGCAGAAAGCATCAAGTAATTAATTTTTTATCTTTAGTATAAAATGTTGGAAACAGCTCATTCAAATAAAAGTCTTGAAGCACTGGGAGTGATATCTTTTCCCAGTTTGGGTCTCTGATCACTTGGGTGTAGTATGTCTCCTTTAGAGTCCATAGTACAAAATGTGCCCAATTGACACCAACTGAGGCCATTTCAGCTTGCACCTGATGCCAGTATTCATGGTTCTCTCTCAGATGACCATCTTTCTTAAGGTAGAATGAGCTTCCCTTAGAACCATCAGGTAGTTCATTTTGTATAATCTCACTGATGCTTGCATTTCTGTATTTGAATGTGCATTTAACTTCAATAACCCCAATATTTTCTGTGTCATCAGGAACTGAAATAATGCCATCTGGGCTGCTACCCAAAAAGCCACAAGGAAATAAATGGAGACCTGTTTTTGTTACAGTGTTGCCTGTTATCTGAGAATAGCTTTGGATTGCCATCTCCTCATGCATCTGACCCCACATAATGGCATCTTTTTTTCCAAGTGAATATTCCATTCTCAATGTTTTAAACAGGGAAGGAGGGTAGGGTCGGTTTTGATTTTTGTTGCGTTGTATGGCTTTCAAAACTGCCCCAAAATTGCTGCCTGTTAAGCGTAATCGCCTGAATTTAGCCCACATTGGAGAAAGCCTCTGTTCTACGGTGTTTGATGCCAACCATTTTATCTGTGCATCATTACATTTTTCAATGAATGCTTCTTTGTTGCTTAAGAAGTCTTCTACAAGGTCCTCTATTAGCTGCGGCATTAGCGGGTTCTTGGCTTGAATTTGTGGCAGTTCTGGACCAAGTATCCACTGAAAAGGACACGTAAGCCCTGTTTCACAAAGTTCTTTATAAAAGAAAGCCCTGTCTTCATCATCAACTTCACGTGATGTTGCTCTATAGCGTGGGAAACAAATCCGACATAGGCTTGAGTTTGACAAACTTTTTAGGTCTTGCAATCCAAGAGTTCGGAAGATCCGTTTTGGAAAATCCACGTTTATTAACAAATATAGCTGCAGCTGCCATATGACTACAGATCCATTTTCCTCTCGGACACTGACAATGACTAGTAGAGATACACCCATCACCGTCAACAGTCAGAGACACGTTGTAACACTTGTCCTTCATCGACGCTCGTACAACAGCTTTAACTTCATGGCCAATTAACTTGACATCAAGAACAAAACTTGACTTGAATTTCAGCTTCCCTTTTTCCAAACAGTTTGTATCCTCTTTGAAAAACTTGACCATTCCGGTAAGTGATATTACCTCCGCCATAACTTCTATATTGACTGACTAGGCCTTCCGAGCGCAAACACTTCAAGTGTTGATTCCAAGCAATTATTTAAGTACAGAACAGGATAGCACGATTTAATTGATATAAATACGCCAAGTGAACTTTGTAAAAGCGGGAATTTAGAAAAAAATTTGTAAATATAGACGTCAGCTAAGCTCGAACGTTTACAACCGCAGTATCTTGTTGACATTTATTCTGGTGCGCCTCGTTGCTACCAACGTATCTAGGCACGTGCTGATTGACCAATCAGGCGGCACTTCACTTTAAAGCCGAATAACATGCCAACACATCACAGACAGTACTACTTCTTTTAACCTCACTAACACTGACAAGAAATATGACATTAAACAATTCGACTATTCGTCCCAAGAACTCTTTAAAAAGCGAATATTTAAAAAGTCATCAAACTGCAATCATCAAACAACTCGTCAATTATTATCAAAGAAACATAGCCTTTTCCAAAAGAAATAAGCTGTGGAAGCAAACTTTGCTTATATAAAAGAAAAGGACAGTAGCTTGTTGCTTATTGTTTAAAACAATGGAAAGCTACTTGGCCTGTAGGGGCAATTGCCACCCTAGTAACTATGCTAAAATAAAGTAAGCAAAGTCCTGAAAGACTTGGTCATCTCATCTTTCCATTTCCACCTGGTTTCTTTTTCTTTTGCCTTTGTCTTTCAAGCTTCCAACTGAATGGGTGCACCTGACTGACTGCCTTCACTTTCTAGCATCAACCTGGAAAAACAACAAGTTTCAATCTTTTTGCAGAGCACAAATAAAATATTTGCTCTTAGTTACTCTGAGAAATAGTTATATGTGGCAGGTCAAAGAATTAAAAGCTCTGTTAAGAGATCTTTTTAGCAAGCTAGGATTACAAGATACTACAATGGTTTTAGCTATCCGTCAATCAACTTTTATGGGAACACCCCTGCAGTTAGTTCAAATGTTTTCCCCATAGATTTTTAGTTTTGTAATGTCTTAACATTGGAGCATGTGTTTAAAAAATTATTCTAAATATTAATTAATTTGAAACAGTGTTTAAAATAGAAAGGTAACAAACTGTTTACATACTGCTTGCATCAATTTGGTCTATTATTTCATCACTTCAGTACATAACTCTCTGGAACATTGCAATGTCTACATTTTGATTGTGTAAACATGGCCTACTGAAAATTCTTGATACAAAGAAGATGCATGTTCCTTTTCAGGAAGTAAAATACTTTCAATCAATGCAACAGCTTCCTGTCATTCACGTTGATATGCACTCTGAAACAAAGCTGACTCTTTCTTTCCCCAATGCATGTCACTGATGTTTTTACATGGCTCCTCCCATTTTGAATTTTTCCTAAAAATCAATGATCCAGTGAATTCATGAGGAACGTCAAATTGTCTATATGCAAGGTATCACATTTACATGCTTTGCAAAACTGATTCATCCAAAACAATCACAGGTCAAACTTAGAGCATCAGCTACAGTGACTATAAAGCAGTATCTCAACTTTTCCATGGCTAGGGATCATTTTTATCTATTATTTGTTGTCTTTGAAAGTTTAATAACGAATGATTCAATGTTTTTAGCTGCTCTTTCTATTTCATGAGATATTACCTAAATAAAAAATTATTTTTGCTTCAATTCTTGCAAAGTATTACCCATTTTGCAAGTGGCAAATAAAACAAAGTACTTCATTTGCAACTGTAATCTTCAACATTTTCTGATAGCCCGGAGAATAAACTTTCAGAATATAGAAAGCTTTTAATGATTTGATTCCAGCTACAGGACTTTTTTCAATTGGTTGGTACACTAACACATGATTATCTGCTTTCTTGGAGAACTGACAAATTCTGGTGCAATATTTGAAGTCTACAGTATCAAATGTAAAATTGCCATTATTTTCAAGCAAATATGGACAATCATAGAAAAGTTACATCTATTGATAGAAAACCCACCGATCACTTGGTGAACTGGGTGTGGCATATTTGGCTAAAGTAGGTCACTTTTGAAACAGCTACAAAACTGAAACCTTAAAGGATATAAGGCTGAAATTTTGTATGTGGTGTTTTCACCAAAGTGGCTCTTTGTTGCAAAAAATTAGGAAATTCTAAGACTATATGTATGTAACATTGGGCCTGACTTTGTTAACATGAAATAACCCAAACCCTTTTGATACCTATGGGTCAAAATAGCAGATCAAAAGCAGGAATAAAGAAAAATATACATTTAAACTTATAAGTATAAGAAAAAGTCTAAATTACTATGACTTATGGTCTCTTATAAGATTATGTGTTCAACAACAAGATGCTGTATTTTGATATTTTTGGGTTTTATGGACACTTTTGAGCTGATAATTTTGGTCTGTCAAATTTTGTTTGGATATTTTGAGGTGAATTTTGATAATTGTGGCTGAAGATATCCATACATAAAAAGTTTGAGTGACTCCTCTGGGCTATGTGTTGGACAATGTCCAAACAATTTTGTAATAGGCCAATCCAAAATATGTAGAATCTATAGCAGTGACCGCTTCTTATTTGTTTTAAATTTTCTACACCAATGAGTCTTTTGCACTAGACGCATCCTTTGAAATCTAATTGATTGCAAAGATACAAAGATCTGTTTAAAGATAGTCTCCTTGATAAGTCTTGTCAATTGATATCAATCGTATCAATTGATTACTCTTATATAAAGATACTCTTTTAATTTATAGTCATTGAAATATAAAAATGCTGTTTATTAAGTATATAGATAAAAACAAAATTTTTCATCCTAAAATTTCTAGACAGGCACACGGGACAAATTCTAGTTGGGCGAGCAATGACTCCCCATGCTCCCTCTGCATTGTGCCTGTCCCTTTCAATGTTAAAAAAAACAATATTATAGAATAAATCAAGGAGTTTTCTTAGACTTTATACCTACGACTTCAGAAAAAAGGCAGTAAGTATAGGCGAAAGTTTCAAATAGCATAAAAATAATATGTGAAAGTTGAAAGTGAGAATGAAAATCAAACGTGGACAGATCTACAGAGGGAATGAACTGAGATTTTTAGATGCTCAGAACTCAGTTGGTTTCCTAAAATGAATTTAAGAATAGTTTTCAATGAAAAAATTTAAACAAAGAAAGGTTTTCACTTCCAACCCCTCCCCCTTTTATCATGATTAACACTGCTAGAGTCTAGCTACTATCAGTCTTGGAACACAGAAGTAAACTGGAGGTTAACAGAATAATGAAATTCTAGTTAGAACTCGTCCAAATCCACAAAACTTACTTATTCATTGTCCAGAAACGTAATAACACAGTAAATAACATTACTCCAAGCAAAATATGCAATATAGGAGGAACAACAAAATCCAAGTGTTTCATGGGAAAAAGCATTTGATCTATTACACTATTGTTAAACTTACATTTATCATGAAGGCAACCATTGGACAGGCTATCTGAAAGATTCTCCTTGTAATTAAAGACATAATCATTAATAGGTCTTAAACCAATATCTTTACAGTTTAGTAGAGTGTGAAGCTCTCTACCATTATTCTTTATTGCACTAGTGTTACTTAATCTAATCAACTTCAAAATGTTGATGCTGAACCCTGTTGGCCGAAATGAAAATCACCTCCTCAAAAACCTTCACCTTTCTACCATTAATTCGAAAATCTTCCTTTCGAATTTTTATAACCTCTTTACGAAAAACACCTAAAACTTTTCACAGATTTTCTAGATTATCTGCTTTCTCAAACATGCAAAAAAGATTAACATTGTCTACAGAGCCTGATGTTATACTATTTATAATTCCGACATTAAATTTGATATTACCAACACCTTTATTATCTAAAAACAAGGCTAGTTATTGCCCTCTCCAGATAAGGGTCATACCCTCCTGGCAAGTTATTCACTATTTCCTGCAAAAACTTTGAACTCAGTTACTCTTATGCTCATTTATAGGGAAGGAACTTAGTTTCCTCAGACTAAGCTGTCCTTTTCAAATGAATTAAGCAAGATTCTACCTTAGAGCTATCAGTGACATATTTACTTTCTAAACTCTAAGCTGCTCTCCTTCTACTCTCAGACGATCAAAAGTTGCAACCCAACTTATCTAAGCAACTTGTCTTAGGTCTTTAATATTGATACTTTTGCTTCAAGACCAATAGCATCAATAACTGATACTTTTGGTGCCTGGGAAATACCTGCTGTAGCTGCTGCCTGCTGGAATAATTCAGGATTTTTTTCATCAGCTCAACTACAAGTAAATGCCTTCAATGGTAGATTAGAAGAAATTTTTACATATGCCTCAACCAGGCAACTACTTATTTTTTCTTATCACAATTTCCAAAAATCTTCACATGTTCAAACACTTCTTGATTATCGTCTTTATCAACAGGATGATGAACAACAATAATTTAAGATAATTTTCTTCTGTGTTCTCCTATCTTGTTTTTGTATGAATCGAGTTCTTCTCTGTTTATACTAAGCTCTTCTTCCATAATTGCTTTATCCTGTTATACCTTCCCAAGTTGCTTCTCCAATTTTTCCACCTCCCTCTCATTTTTTCTCTCGCAACCACATGCTTGAATATCTTGTTCTCTCAATCGCATTTCCAGCTCTTCCCTGTCAATTTTCCCCTCACAAATACTCATTTTGCACTTTGTTTTCCTGATTTCTTAATTATATAATAAAAGGAAATGTTAAATTAAAAGACTTGCTTAGAAATTTTTTTTTCTATGACGACTTTGCATTTTTTCTTTAATTTTCTAAACTTTTTGCCTGTTTACAGAACCTTTAAAAACTTTTTGCTAACGCTTGTGCTTTCAGCAGCTTTGCAAGTTAAGCTCCAGAAGAAAATCTTTCCCATGGCAACATGGTCTGGATAGCCCTGTGCCTAGTAAAAAAAGGTGTTAAAACTTAAATACTGTTTTAACGTATTGTATGAAAGTGTTGAAGCACAGGTTGTGAAGAAGGGGGCTGAGGCAGCCACCTTGCAATACAATGCAGCCAACAAGAATTGCAGGGCTTTGGAATTCATCGGTTATGATACAGGTCTTAAGTGTAGATATAAGCTTGAGATCAATGACTGAATTTCAGAAAGTATATAATGATCAGCAAAAATAACTGGTATCAGCTTGTAGTGAACTTCGCCAAAGGCATTTTTGAGATGCAGCAAAGATACCACTAAAGATCATGATAATAAAAATAATAATAATAATTATCATGATAAGAAAAAAAATGAGACACTGGTTTAATTTCAATTACACTACAATTACAAACCTCTCTTTTATATAGATATTTTGCAAAAGAAAAGAAAATACTGTTATGTACCCCCTCGGAAAGCTTTTTGCTTTCAAACGAATATGGTTCTAATTCGTATCTAAAAGACAAGTTAAATGTGTTTCCAAATAAATTTTTGAAGCATTTGTGTGTAGAGATCTGTAGGCAAGACACATAGAGCATCAGGAAACTGCAAGCACTCTTTTTTTAAACATAATGGACAACTTTGTTTGCAAATGATGCCAGGTTAAACTAAAAACTCATTTATTTAAAAATCTTTTTAATGACGCTGATTAAAAGACTTGAACCTATTTACAACATATTTCAAGTTGGTTGCTCTGAAACTGATGGAACAATTGAATGTTCCACTTGGAGAAAGATTCTCTTTTCTTGCTTGTAACATCGTTGATTTGCTTGGTGACACAACTTTCTTCATTCTGCTGAACACTCTTTTGCAGTGAACACTGGTAAGTGGTGTTGTGGCAGCCAGTTCTAGCGAAATCAAAGCCTGAGGTAATGCTTCTTCGAGACTAGCTGTTTTAATCACTTTTAGCAAGTCTTGAACATTTGGCTTCCCCTCTTTTATATTTTCCTTCTTGACTGCTCCTCCTGGTACCCTTTTCAAAAGAATCCTCAACTTCTACTGTGCTTCCATCCGTCTCTTTGTTTTCGTTTTGCTCCTCGTTTGCTTGCTTCATTTTATGCCGCCTCTCTCTTTTCTTAGCTGCCAGTTCATCTCGTTCTCCTACCATTTTATCTAAAAGATTTTTTATTTTATTGTTATCATAAAGCACCCTTAGGTTATGTTCAAGTGCTAAAGGAACAGGTACTGCAAATGGATAAAGTTCTTTGACTTTACATATAAGTTCTTTTTGCTTAGCTCGTGGCATCTTTCTCCTCTTGTCAAATTTCGAAGGGTGGATTAAATCACATCAATTTGAATTTTGTGAGATTTTCAAACCCACAAAGCAGTTGTTGCGAAATTGCCAGTAAATTTCCAACTACCTGTTGAATCTGCTGCTTCCTTGACTCCTCTCCATACATTTCGTTGGCGAACTGCAGGCATCTTAGGATCCAGGCGCATTGCATCCTCCCAAATCTGGTTGCAATCCAAATTGTGCAAAAATCCCTGAAAATCTTCCAGCATTGATGACAATTGCACTGCGTCAATGATCGGATTTTGCATGACTGTTATTATTGGGTCACAGTGGGCAAAAATTTTTCTTTATATTTACAAAAGAAATACGAATTTGATGTGCTGAATTTGCAAACAGAGCCCTCAAGCAGTGACTTGTGTCTCCGTTTTGTCATCTTTATCATTGGCCATTTCATACAATCATGCTCTGATTGTTTCATACAATGAATCAATGACCCCAATTGCTGCATCACGTGATAACCAACGTATTCACCAGGTTTCAGTAGACTATGGCCAAGTTGAGACGTACGCTTTAGACTGTTTCTAAATAAACGTACAAGTTTGTCAACAGTGTCAAAAAGTTTAGCAACTTTTGGAATTTTTTTTGCTGATTATGAGGCACAAAGTGATATCCTGTGAGCAAGACAGTGGTTGTCATATGCAACAGGAAACCTTCTTGAACCTGCTTTTGGACAGCATTTAATTCACCTGACATCATAGGGGCACTGACATAAGACTGCACGGTGAGCTTTCACCCTCCGTTTTGTGGCGTGATCTTGTATTCTTACAATTGAAGAACAACTGATTGATGAGTGTAGCTAAGGAATTCGATATATAGGATCCTAGAATTTTCAATAAATTTATTTGAATACTGTGTGGCCCAGAAGACTTTGATGAGTCCAATTTAGAAATTTCATTCTCAACTTCTATATGATCGACTGGAGAGAGTAAGATTAAGTTTTTATTATCAAGAAAACCAAAAGGTGACTCTGATCTTTTGGCAAAGTTTTGGTAATATTCTCAGCAACATTGACAAAGTACTTGTTTAAGATATTAAAAATTTTAGTTGTATCTGAAGTTATTTCTTCTTTATCCTTGCTTTTGCCAATACTTGCAAGGACAGAGCCCTTATTAGAAATAATTGATTTAATGCCTACCCACAGTTTTTCAGATTTTGGCAATTTGTAGAGAAATAGTCATGGAAATAGATTAGCTTGCTTTTCTTTATCTCATTTGTCATCAGATTTCTAAATTTTCTGTAGAGTTGAAGATTGCTATCCGATCTATTTCTTTTCATTTTTCTAAACATGTGATCACGAATTCGCATCATTTTTTATATTCTGCTGTTGATTTTGAGATGTTGATTAGAGAACTGAAGGAAAGAACCCCAAGGTTTTTTATTCATATTCATTTTTTATTCTTTTTTGTGCACTTTATAACTGGTACATGTTTTTCAACTAGCATATTAATGTCTTGAGAGAATTTATTATCGTTTCCATTAATATCGGTATCATTATCGATATAGCTCAATTCTAATTTATTAAAGCCAGAAATAAAAGACCTCTTCTCAAAAGATGAGTAGTCATGTTTATAGGTAACTGACCTATTGTATTTCATATTAGCGTTTATAAAAATTAGTAATTGCGGGAATGGTCGGAAATCTGGGTCAGAATATTTCCACATGTAATTTCCAAATTCGTTAAGTTTGTGAAAATGTTATCAATTATTATTGACGAGTTATAGGAAATTTTTGTTGGGTGATTTATACGGTATCGAACAACAATAAAAAAACAATAAGAAAAGACAGCCACGTCTAAAGAAACGAGTTAACCTATCTAAGATCATTGTTTCTCAGCCTCTAAAGATCTTCCACATCATTAAAATAAACGAATTCTCCCCTCCTAAAACAGCACAAATTGCAATAAATGTCTGCAAATGCAAAGGATTCATTTTCGTCTTTTAGAATTTCATTTGTCCTTTTAATGATTTCTCTTCTTCTCCTTGTTAGGTCTAACATGACCCTATACCTTGTGGTCTTCTTACGTGCTTTATAAATTGCAGTTCTATGCTGCCATATGGTTAGTCACACAATCATCTGCTTTGTGCGCTTACCTTCATTTGTGACCAATTTCCCAATACTATGAGCACGATCAAGCACAGGTCTGGTACGTCCACACCAATTTCATCGAAAACCTCCCCTATCTTTTGAAGATATTCTTCACTTGATTCGCTTTTCCCTGATGTTGGCAGATCAATACCGCTAATACTTAGACAGTCTAAGTCTATGTTGATATTGTTCACCATCATCATTTTATTTTGCAAAAAAGCAACATGCTTTTCCAGTAAAACAACCTTGTCCTCAGTTGCCAAATTTTCTTGGATTGGTCAACCTTTATTTTGATGAGATCAGAAATGCAATCTTATATGGGCACCCTTTCTGCCTGAACCATTTTGCTCTTTATATTAGGAAATTGTGTTGGAAATGTCGGAAAAATAAAAAAACTACAACTTGCACCACAAAAAATTACCTGTGATTTACCTTGAAAAAATTACCACATGAAACTTCCTATAATTTTATACCCAAAAATTTGGGCTACATTACCTTAAAATGAGTTTCTATCTTTCATGCTGTTGTTTTAAAAAGGAAACAAATCAACTTCCATTTTCACACATGCCTGAAATTTCATGTTATGTTCAAGTGAATATAGTATGTCTTCAAAATAAAGATAATCTAAAAGACTTACAGTCAAAAGAGTTATGCTGCAATAATATTGAAATGATCAACTGACGTGCTGACACGTGAGACAAACGATTTTTTGCACAAATTGCAGCTGCCATACATAATGCTGGTATCCAGGTAACATTTCCAGTCTCTTCCTCGGGTTTAATGGGAAGTTCGCTTTTTATTTATTAATGGGAAGTCTGCTATTGAAGTTTTCAGACAGGCAGATTTGAGCACCCCATGCAGAAAAGGGTTCTTTTCTCAGTTCTCTGTTCAACATCTCAAAATCAAACTGAAGAAGGTTGTCCTTCTTTGACCTTCAAAGCATGCTTGGGACCTTCCTTGAACATAATTGCGCCGATTCAACATGTGCAGCTTTAAGCAGCTCTTCTAACAATGTATGGTCTGAGGGCATACCTCCTCCATACCTCCAGACGACAGCAGCAATCTGCTGGAAGGTTCCCCTTAAAAGCATTTTCCCAACAAAGCATTTGCAGAGAGAGTGGGAGTTTCCTTTCTCTGATTGGCTATTCCAATTTACACGGAAATAATATAACCTTCAGTTGTGAAATCTCCAGCATCATGATAATTGGCAGCATTGCTTCCTGACGAATTAATTATTTTATCAGCTTGAGAGCTTATGTCCCTTGTTTCAGATTCAGCGGCAATAATCTTTGTGGGATGCATGCCTCTATCTCCCTCTTCTTGCAAGCTTTCACCAAACTTCATCTTCAAACAAATGTTTTATCTGAAACACGCTTGTTTGTGTGTCTCTAACAGTTCTCAAAACAGGACCCTCTCCTTCCATTGCCTAGATCCCAATCCTAGATTTCTCTTTGCGTGGGGAAGTAGTATTCGAAATTCAGTCCTTGACTGATATCGTGGTCAAGTGAACGGTATTAGTTAGGCCAAACCCAAATGTGCAATTTCACAGGAAAGCGGAAGGGCCTTTACTACCAAAAACTGAGTCAAATTAGCATTCTCACACGTAGCTAGCCAATGAAAGTTACAATATAATCTCTTGTGGGTAATTTTTTTAAGTGAACTGTCGCTGCAGCCACTGTGAATATTGTCAGAAACATCTCCATTCCATACAAACACCATTTGAGAAAATATCAGTATGCTGCATATTTTACGCATAAATTATTCTTCCCAGAGATCCTGGGAAAAGCTCGTATGAGGTATCGCTCTTGGTTACACAGACCCTCTACTTTCAAGTTAGGGGTCTGAAACACAGGCTAGTAGCATTGTGTATGGAAATAACTATTAAAAAGGGATTGGCTAGCAATACAACGCCATGCAGAATGAAGTTTCAGAGATTTGTAAAGTTGCAGTTGTTGATAAGATCAATAGTATTTTACTCTAAGCATTTACTGTAAGATTTTGCAGAGAAGACAGAAAAGATTTAGAAGCACCAACCCAGATATGAGAGCAATACACCAAGAAATCATGGCTTTAGACCTATCAGAGATAGTGCTGCCAATCCACCTAATAAAAGTGCGTTGTCAAACAAACATATGGTTTTTAGGATGACAAAGTTTTCTGCCAGACAATATAAAAAACATTAAAGGAGTCAATAACAGAACACCAAACGTGAACAGCATTAGCTGGGAAAGCCCTTCACTAATTGTTTACTCAACAATAGACTAAAGCTCAGAAAAGGTGTGCTGGAACTCTTATAACACCCCCCAGACTTGTCAGTGAGTAAATACAAGCAGTTTCTCTAGATAAAAAAGTAAAAATGTATCAAAAGCTAGAGATACTAAGTGCTTATCTTTATCTATAAGAATTTAGAGAAAGAATCAAAGAAGGTGATTGGTATATTCTTCCTAATGCAGTAGAAGATCATGGATACGGTACACATTACATCTTAGATAAATAGTTCACAGGAAAAATGTGACTTTGTTAAATATTGACCAACAGATGCCACATTTGGTCACCTGAACAATATGTCCTTATTTTGGTCAACTGATCAAAAGCAGAAAATCTACATCAATCTGTAATAGTTTTGTCGTTTTTTATGTTTACTAAAGAACATGACCTGACAAAAAATCAATATTTTGGTCAATTTACATCAGCTTTGCCAATTTTACATCGTTCACATATTTTTTCTTTTCTTGTCATCCATTTCTCAACAATCTGATGCCCCCTTTGCTTTAACCCTAAGTACATGCTTAGTCTGCTCAGTGGTTAATACGACCCTTGATACAATGTTTCATTACCTAAATTTGCACATTGCTGGCACATTACACAAAACAGTTTTGATATTTCAGGACCACTGCGATGATGGGTGCGAATTAAAGTCTGTTTGGCATTGTTATCATATCTAAACCAAGTTGCTTTTAATTGATTTCATTTTGAGCAAAGTTGTAGAGATAAGCGTGTTAGAGGTCTTGAAAGGTATACATGGCCTAAAAATAGTATTTGGGGGCATTTTGATAACGGATGTGAATCTATATCGCGTTTATTTGCTATGATTAGTATCTATGCCAATTTTCATGTCACTGATTTCATTTTCAACAAAGTTATAGAGATAATACATTTAGGAGTCTGGGAACAATAACACATTCTAAAAATAGCATTTGGGGGCTGGGTCCCAACCCCATCTTATTCAGCATATCAAACTTTGTAGTTGTGCAGATTTTCATGCTTTTATCACAATTTGCGCAAGATTGTCATTTCAGAGGCCTTTGCTTCTATATTATCCTTTCTGTTTGTACAATCATGCTGCCACTTGTTCTAGTTGTAACAATATAGGTTACCAGAAGCAAATGGCATCAGATCCTTATGATATCTCTAATGAAACCCTTTTAGAGTCAAATGAAGAAATTCTACAAAGTACAACTGGAACTTTTAGGAAACTGTTTTTTCTAAACCTTATTATAATGTAACCAGAAAAAAAATTGTCTTCTATCTTCAATCTGTTGTAATTTATTGATTGTAGAAGCAAAAGAAAACCTACCAAGACAGGTTTTTGAAGGGTTTGCTTGTTTAATATGTTAGGAAATTGCAGAGGAAGCCGTTGAAACAAGCTGTTATCACGTCATTTACTGTGAAAAAATGCTTATTACAGGTAATAATGGGACTCAAACCACAATGCTGAGATCGATTGCAAATAAATTGCGATCAAGAAATAAAGAATCAATTTTGAAAACCTATTGACAGAGATAGATCACAACAAAACAACAGTCCCAGAAGAGTTTAAATTTTGAGATCAGGTGGTCGGTCTCTGTGTGAGAGGAAGAGAAAAGATAGCTTTAATTTTGGGAGAGAAGAGATCAAAATATTTGATTCAATTGCAAGAGAAAAAAATGAAAACATGACAAGTTTAGTTTTAAATTTTACGTCACCTTTGATTCTTTAATCGTACTCAAGTACAACTTCAGTATAAAAAAATTGTTTTCTTTCCTTGCTTAGCTTAAACAATGTGCTTTAACATTTAATATTTTGTATAATAATTTTAAAACAGCCTATAACATTATTTATTCCCTTAACAGGTCTGTATCTTCTCCAATTCCCAATTAAAATCTATTGTCGATGGGACTGTTGGCTGTTTAGATGACTGGTATGACTAGATGATTGCTTTATTTGATTTTTTATTTATAAACAGTATTGGAATAAATACTAAATAACATAAACAACTTTATTTTGGTGTATGCTAAAAAGTAAACTGATTAACTACTTTACCTCCATAGATATATCCTTATTCTCTGAACCCTGGTGGGATCATGCCACCTGAATTAGGCAATTGAAACAATATGTAGATATGATTAGCAGTGGCTGGCTCAACTGTAAGAATTAACAAATACCCCCCTAATAGCTTGATAATTTTCTTTGTCATGATTTAGCATGAAAAGCTAAGAAAACACCACCCATCCACAAAATCATTTTTGATTCATTTATTGTCTATGCAGCTTAGCCTTGTAGACAGTAATGGAGTGGCTAGTTTACTGACAGTAAATCTGAGTGTGATGTTCTACATCTAATACAAAATATGTCAAGTTGCATCTTATCACAAAATTCATGAATAAGACACTAGTTATACTTTACCAATGAATTGTCACATGCCTCTCTATTCTATTTCTGGGTTTTTCCATCTCTATTCTATTTCGATTCGTTGTTCTTTAATGGTGGTTGTCAGCAAAAATTAAATTTATTAATTCCATGGTGACTTCTTTGGCAAAAAATTGTCTTCCTTTTTTATGAAAGTACATAAAGTTTCCCTGCTGCTCTTTTTAAGAATATGTTGTGATGGAAATTATCTCAAATTTGCTAAAAGATTGCAACACTGAATCTTCTGCTGCTCAAGTTCCTTCTGTTTCAAATATCCAAGGTACTTTAAGGAGTTTTCTAGTTGTCCCAGCAAAACAATCTCTTCTTCCAAAACCAGTGCCACAGGAGCTCTAAGGAAACAATGCAGTATCATGTAAAAGAAAGCAGAAATTAATCTTGGAGAGCTTTTCATTGAAAAAGGCAAGAATTTTTTTTTGAAGACAGTCCAGGTTCTAAAGGAACTTTGTAACAAAATCTGTGCCTAGTAGCTCTCTAATGGTGTCTTCAGCTACAGAATCAGTTTCACCTTTCAAAGTAACTGAATCAAGAACTATCTCTGTAACAGTGGAATCCAGCAGGAATGCTCCCCCGGATTCTTCATTTGGTTGGCATTCCGTCAACATGTCATCACATCAGACATCAACATCAAACTCTTCAAATGAAAGTGATATTGGAAATTTCTATAAGAGCACTTAGCCTTTTTCTGACTCTCAGAAGTATCATTTTCTTATCTGCAGATGGACACCTTCATCATCATATTCTTTCCCACTGAATTCTTCTGGAATGAAGATTTCAGTTCAAGTTGCTAACTACCTTTCGTTTGTTATGTTATTCAGAGGTACTTGATGGTGCTCTCTGTATCAACTATGTGCTATTTGGTGGAGAGGCATCTCATAATGCATCCAAGTTAACATTTTTGTTTAAACTGTCATTCATCCAATGGGGAACAGCTTTAAAACGCTTCAAAGATCATCAGTTGAAATCACCAATTCATCAGACATCAACATTCAGAGCTACTGAGTTTAATGCTCGCATGGAAGGAATGGCAAAGCCTATAAATATAATGTGTGATAGCATGATTTCGAAAACTGTGGACCTCAATCGATGTAAACTGCTTCCAATTGTTTCTGGAATCATTCATCGTCCTGGGCAAAATATTTCACTAAGGTCGCAGCATGATGATTCACAGTATCGCAACTACATAAAGTATAGCCCAGGTAACTTCCAAGCAATCTGGCAGTACCTCTCAAAGTGAACCCTCTAAAGTGAGAGATCTTAAATTAGGAAGAAGTGATTTTGGGCGTAGAAAAAAAAGACAGAGGAAATAAATGCCTCACCAAAGAAGAAGTTTAACCCTCTAAGCAGCTTTAATCACAAGCTTTCACTTCAAGATATTGCCATGGCACTTAAAGATGTATGCAAAGAAGAAGATAACATAATCTTTACTGCATTGGCTAAGCCTCATCTGAACAAAAGTCAAGATTGTCAAATGAAATTTTCTGTTAAGACAATCAATGAGCTTTTCCTTGCATTATCCACTGGAGATGAGTTCCTCCGTTTCATTTTGGGGATTGATCAGGATCAAATTGCAGAAATAGAGAGAGTAACCAGAGGTCGGTCCATAACCCTCTTTGGTTGGCATTCCGTCAACATGTCATCACAGCATCAAAGGCACACAGTGTGAAAACAAGGATTGAAACAGCAGAGAGCAAAGGATTTGCTGATGCAAATTTTGATGCAGTTACTAAATGTGTTGCTGGAAAGTCAGAACTTCATAAAAACATTCCTGCTATAAAGTATGGTAGCAGGATGGAAAAAGAAGCTGTTCAGAAATTCTACCATGAATATTTAACACACCATCAAGATGTACAAATCAGAGAGTGATCATCAAATCGGAAAAGGAAAACCAGGTGAGTGATAAGAGTTGTTTTGATCAAACTGAGTTGCTTGGCCTAGAAAAAACTGCCACTGGCAAAACCAAGGTCTTAAGAATTGATTGGGATTTTCAGAAGGATAATTTTGACTTTCAGCTAGACAAAATGATTGCAGATCTTCAGGACAAGACAGAGACAAAATAGGGTATTTGAAGTGCTTTAGCTAAGCTTTTTTGAACCTTTGGGACTGGTAAGCCCATTGACAGAAAAGGCTAAATCTGTTTTTCAAGAATTGTGTGACATGAAAATTGATTGGGATGAAACTCCAAATGGTCTAAATTCCCAGCTTGTTTGTGCTAAGAACAGAATAGCACCATTGAAAGTCCATACTATCCCAAGGATTGAATTTGCTTTCAGCTAGAATTTTAGCAAATCTGATTAAAACAGTGTATGATTCTCTTAAGGATTTTTGCACATGTTTAAACCTTTGTTATTCTAATATCCTACAACATATAGATTTGACCTATATCTCATCTGCCAAGGAAACCCTACAGGTCTTAGGTGGAGAAAAATAATTAGAAAAGCACCCCCCTAAAATGAGAAAACGCTTGTTTGAAGTTGAGGATTTTGTGGATCAGATTTCAAAGTGAATGGTTATGCTTAATTCAAGAAATATCTGTTAGAGAGGTATGAAATTCAACAAAAACAAAGCTGAAATCATAAAGAATGCCCCAATGTGAAATTTACTGATGATTCAATCTGGTTGCTATGGTAACTACCAATGAGGGAGGCTTTTGCAACAAGTATAAATTTTAGGACAACCTTAGAAAATTTTTAAAAAGAGCTCATAGGGACATTACTAGATTTGACAAGACAAGTATTTCTGCCAAATCTCTTGCTAATATTTTCAAAGGTTATGAAAATAATCATATTGGGCAATCACCTGCTATGAAAAACAGGCGTTTTGAGTAAATTGCGATTGAAGTTCATCAATGTTTCTTAGAATGTTATTCAACTGGCAAATGCAATTTTAGTTCAATTTTTGCTTCTTTTTTATATGTCCTTCTCTGTTTTGCAGCAGATGGTCCTTGATCCTCTTCATTGAATGCCCTTGCCACATATATCACCCCTACCAAACTCTTGAGCCATTCTTCTTCTCGAGCTTTTCTTGGCGAATAACTTCTCTGGCTCTTTTAAACCTTTGTCTCAGTCTTGCTGATGACTGCACAATCCTTCTCTGGTCTTTCTTGTTGCTACAATGTTCTGTATAATTCCCCATTGCAATACCTAAAATATCCATCAGGGCATGTTTTCCAGTTGCTCCAACATTGAATTGCAAAACAGCTGAGCCTGTTGCTACCTCATCAACCTTCATTCGTTTGTTTTGGTGCTTTGGACAACGTATCCAAATCAGAGAATCGAAAGATTCATTCACATTTTGGGAGAGCCCTGGCAAGCACCTTTTTCGCAAACTGGTACTGCACAAACGGTCAAAGAGAGGTAGCAAAAACTCTAAGAAAACTTCATCAAGATGATATGGCTTACCTACAAATGTTTCATCTGTGTAACATCTATTGTTCTTGCAAGCACAACAGGAGTTTGAAAGACAAAAATCTTTTCTTGTTCTTTCATCTTAATGCTGTGATATAGGACGGCCTTTTTTTTGCATTTTCTCTACTGCTTTTTGTCCTTTTTTTGCGTCCCTGTCAACAGAGCTTCTAATAGCATTTTCATAATATTTTCGAAGCCTGTCTATTACTGGTCTTGTAAGCCTGCCTTGCCTCCCTCCAACAGCCTTTCCATCTGAAAGCTTTCCACCTGTTTTCTGCACGCTAATTAGATTTTTGCCCTCTTTTTTTGGATGTGACCAATACAACCAAGTTTCTTGACACCGTAACATTCCCCAATCCCATTCTCATGTTCATTTTCCCATCTGGTGTATGCTGCAAACTTCACCCATTTCTGATAATGAAGCGATCTTTTGTCCATTGATGCATTTCTATTACAGTCCTCACACCCGAGAAGTATCCCAAACTTCCGAACAGACTTTGCTATCTTCATCACACACCATCTCTTTGTCATGGAAGTTATGTTTTGATAAGGACCGTCTCAAATGATCTTTGCAGCTTCCTTCTCCACGGCAGTACTTGAACCTTCAAAGTTCTTTTTGCATTATCCTTGTCTTGCATGGTTTGATTTCCATTGCTTCTATTTTTCCAAGTCACATTTCAATTTCTCAACAGCCTTACATTTTTTGCATGACTTGGACATAACTGCATAGTCCAACGCTTATGTCTACTGCAATTACAGCACCTATGCCATAATTTGCAGTAAAGCCTCGCTTGCTCCAAATACCATCAAATGAAACTGCAATGTTTATTGCATCAGTTTTGCAATAAAGTTTCGATTTTAAGTGTGAAACCAGTCAACCTGTCTTTTATCAGAAATTCTGGAAGAGGAAAAGAAAAATCATGCGAATTCACCCCTGATGATTTTGTGGATTCACCTTTGGTTTTGGTGAAGACAGAAGATGCTGTTACGGAACAACTACAAAACGAAAGGGAAGAGAACAAGACACCACACCATTTGGTCATCATTTTCGTGGAACACAGACAAACCCCAGAATATTCTGTAACACGTGGTAAGTATTCTGTATTCAAGACTTCGGGGCTTTACCTGATATATCTCTGTAATGCCGCAATACAACTTCTATATGACTTTTTATATCACTTCATAAGATGCTCTTTTAATTTTATTCTGGAAACACCCGCCCCTTTGATCTTCCCATTAATTATTCCCATAAGCAGATTATACATTGTATGAAAAGCGTTTTTTTATTTTTAAGGCACTCAAACAGAAACACATGATACCACTCTGTCAATCATGGTTGATCAGGAAAAACAGACAGAGAGCCATTTAAAAAATAAGACATCTATAGAACCTGTAGATGAGATGAATGATGAATCTGATGAGGCACCAACAGGACAATCCACAATGGAAGATAAGGACTGAATAGGTAGCACTGAATAGTCTGATACTGAAGATTCAGAAAGTTCTGAATCTGAAGCTGATTTTCAAGAACCAAAGACATACCTGAATTCCGAATCTTGCATCGTCACGTTTGCAAGTTGCAAAATTTGTCTTGCCCCAAGCACAAATGTAAGAAAAACTCTTTGTGGGTCAATGTTGCGTATAGAGGCTGAATGCATTAAAGGGCACAAAAGGGTCTGGTATTCCCAGCCAATGCACAAGAAAATGCCATGGGGGAATTTTCGAATAGCTGCTGCCTGTTTAATTTCTGGCAGCCAGCCCTCAAAAGTTTTTTCTTTTCGTAAACATTTGAATATGGCAGGGATATCAAAAACGGTATTCAATGCTATTCAGAGTGCATATCCTATACAATCTGTCTTTGCTGTTGGGGAAGTCTGAAAAGAAATTTTTCAAAAATTACAAGGGAAACAATTAGTTCTTGGTGGTGTTGCATGTGTTGATTCCCCAGGCTATTCTGCAAGTTATGGGTCTTATTCCTTAATGAATCTGGAAAGTAATAAAATTATAGATACACGGCTGATTCAGGTATTATTGCTATTTATGCAGTCTATATTGTCTGTAAAAAAGTAATGTTGATTTATTTGGTTATCTTTTAAAAGCAAATAGTCAGGGAAATAAAGTGCTACTAGTCTTGACCATACCAATGTCTTATTTGAGTACACATTACGACAAAAGCTCAACAAACATTTTTTAATGGAAAGTAAACATTTTTATTAGTAGAAATGAAGTTGGAGGAGCAGGCTTCATGGAATTAGAAGGTCTCAAGCAGGCTCTGGGCAAGATAGAGGGAGAAAAGATTGAGTACAGAGCACTTGTAACAGATCGCCATGGCCCTGTTAGAAAGTACATCAGACTGCAGAAGAAGGACAAACAACACTACTTTGATGTTTTCCATGTTGTAAAGTGTGAGAAGAATTTGAAATTCTGTTTAAAATGCATCCTTGTCTTCAATCCTAGTAAACATGAGCAACTTAATCGATTTCTTCTTTCAGCTTTTGCATTTCTTAAAATAATTAAGAAAAGTTTCTGCCATATGGGATTTTTACCAGAGATGTTTGCTTTTCATTCTCTTTAAAGCAATTAGGAAAAAAGTTGCAGTACTTGATTGGGTAAAAAGCATAAAAAAATCATGTTTATTGCTGTGCAACATCATCTATGGGTAGCACCATTGAAATGAAAGAAAAACGCCTGTCACTTCTTAACCATGTTATCAATGTTCACGAAGGTCATGGGAGTACTTACAAGAAATATCCTCATGGCAAACTTGTGCGCAACTGGTTACGCAAAATTACAAAACGCAAGGGTAACTCGTTTATTAATTCTATTTCGTCATCGTCCCAGCTCCTTACAGAGCTGCACGAGATGGTGTGGGTTAGCGCATATTGTGTATTCATGCGTTGCGAACAAGCTGAGAATTTGATACTCTGTTCAGAGATTTTTCGACTTTCGAGCATCACCTGGTAGACATTCTGTTTTATTGTTCAGATAAGTACAGTTATTTTCTTAATTGTTCTTTTTTTCCACCGTTGTCTGATGGCTAGGGAAAAAAGTTTCCTAGCCCCTGATTTCAACTTTGAACCCGAAGAAACTTCTTCCTGTCTTAATGATGTTGTTGACAGACCTTCCCAAGAGCCTAATAGTATGGTCTCTATTCTAAATATAATGATATTAGATTCAGAAATGGACTTCCAAAATTTGGTGAACAAAACCACTTTTATAAAACGAGTAAGCCTTTCTGATCTTGTTAGTCTGGGCTGTTAGAACATGAATCGTGCAAATTGTGATACCAGCATGAAAATTTGTATATTGAGGTAATTTCCCACGCTGATGACGATGCCGAACAGACACAAGCCGAAAAATGCCCCCAAGTGCTATTTTTAGACTGGGGTACTTGGTCTCAGTCCTACAATTGGGCCAATCTCTATATGTCATTATTGATTTATGAAAAAGTGGGAAAGGAAAGATTTAGGCGCATTATCATATATCAAAATATATTGAGAGAAAAGGAAATGAAAGAATGCCCCTTTATGCTATTATTAGAATATGCAATTGGTACCCATGTCTTTATTTAGGCATTAATCTCTAAATAATTACTCTCTTTTATATGAATATGAAATGTAGCTTTCTCCATTCTTTCAACAAACCTGCAAAGCTTTTTCTCTGCAGATCAATTGATGATATTCTTTGAGGCTTTCCTGAACTATCCTATTCTAGATGCGATGGCTACTTCAATTGAGACTTGTGTTCCCCAATGCAATCTGAAGCTGCTGCGCCGTTAAAAGGTGCTTGCACTCCGGAGATTTTCCATTATTTGCTAGATGATTGTGAAAGTTTGGTTTAATGTTTGGAAATGACAATATATTGCCAGATTCATTTGGCAATCTAAAGAAGCATCTGAAAAAACATTTCACCACCACTTTGCATGTCATCAATTTAGAAGCCTGGGAGAAAAAAAACGTGAAAGAACAACACAAGTTGCAAGAAATATTGCATTTCGAATTTGGATCACTGGTATATGTTACGATATTTATCAGGAGGGAAAATCATTCAGATCGTTCGAGAAAGAGATTCTAAAAGCAACTCAGAATTGATGTGATATGGGAGATTTATATCACTCCTTTCAGTTTCTGAGAGATTCTCAGCCATTCGTTTCAAAGGAATTCAGTAGATTTCATTCTAGAACTGTTAAGATTTTTGGCAGAAGAACACAACAAAATGGCTTTCTTCCAACAGTAAATTTTCTTGCTGACAAATGAACCAATGTGCACAGAACAAGACAATTTACCAGTGTCTTGACTACAGTTCCTGACAGTGGTACTCCCATCTGCTTTGTATATTTTGGCCAGCCTATTGTTAAGGACCACAGTGGCAAAGGAATAGCACAAAGCGTGGTCGATCAAATCTTGCGATTTAATATCAAAGATTCACACGTGGAAGCTGCTAGCTATCTTTAAATGTTCCAGACCATATGTCATAGCTTTATTCACTACCTTGTACGTTTTTGGCAACATGGGATCCACTTCACAAAGCAGGTCTAGTGGACAATAAAATCAGAAAAGCTGCGAATTTCAAATGGCTTGTCGATTTACAAAAGAGATTTATCGAAATTTACAAAAAGTTTAATTGGGGCAAGAACTACGAGCTTTTGGTTGAAGTTTGTGACATGCTGGAGCAGAATTTAGCCACACTTCATAATTTTCAAGTGACCAGGTTTGCTAACAGTGTATGTTTCATGTTTATAAACTTAAGAAAAGATTATAAACCTGTTTGTGAGTGCCTAGAGAGGATTATAAATGAAAACAAAAATGGTACTGCTAATGAAAACACATAATTTGTACTGTAGCTATCAAAATCTCCATCAAAAGTATAGTAGAGAGCTTAGTGTCAAGGTATGAGGTTCATTTTGACAAGGCAACTCAAGGAGGAACATGCGTTAAATGGGATGGAAATAGCTGAGAACGCACCAAAATTTGCAAAGGCTGACCAAATCCTGAAAGCAGCAATGGATATGTACTGGAAAAAGAAGAGTTTCTTGGGCGAGTGGCACTTTACACACAGATCAGAAAACATCAGGTCCTTCTCGGGAAAAAGCAAAGTAATGACAGAACTAATGAAAGCAACTTCAAAATTTTCGTTGATGGATGACTGATAATATATAACGCATGTTATCCTATCTGTGTCAAGGTGGACATATGGCAGATTTTGAGAAAAAATGGAAATTTTCTCAAATTTGATTTTTTTGTGTTTTCTTGAGAGTTTAACATATGTAGTGATAGAACCAACTTCATTTGGTTGGAATTGGGCATGAACAGTTGCAATAATTGGCCTTGCAAAATGCTTACTTCCTTTAGCAACGCAAAAATTGTCTTGCTAAGGAGCCGTTTTTGGAGTTTTCCTCTAAAATTTGGTCACATTTCGTGCCCTACCAACTATTTTCCTACATCATTGAGTTGAATGTATTCTGTGTCTTTTACATAGAGAAATACCGCAGCAAAATGACAAAATTTACTTTGACAAAGCCATTTTTTGCTCACATACTTTATTGTAAGAAGAAAATAGAAGACTTTTTGGTACTTGAATGTTATGTAGACTTACTTTTGTAATGCCAGGGAATAAGTCAAGAAGTAATTACGTCAGGAAGAAAAAGTTTGTAGGCCTAAGGAGACAGGATTGACGAACGATGATGATAATGAAGGAAGGCCTAAGAAGGATGATTCTAGGCCAGGTGCAAGCTATACGCCAGATAAACTTAATAGGGCATTTGAGAAAGTTTCCGAAAACTGTCCCATTTTTAAGTCAGAAAGGAAACAAGTCCTTATATAGAAACAAGGCAGAAGGCTTTTAATCTTGGTTTGACAAGCACTATTTCACATCCAAGCACAGAGGCATTTGGCAACATTGTTTTTAATTCAAAGTTGTTGGATGTGGCTATAGAAAGGACAGCCATCTGCAAAATTTGCAGATCATTGAAAGGCTGTTCGAAACTTTTTCAAGTAGACTGAAGGAGACCTTGGCTGGATGAGTCACTTTTTTTGTGCCAAAACTGCCATCACAGTGTCAGTTTACATACAACGGAGAAGGTTGACTGCCTTGGCAAGCAGACTTTTTCAAACAAAATCTCAGACTTGTTCAAGTAGGTTTTTATTCTGGCAATGGACACACAGATCTTCAAAGAATTTGTGGTATGTTCGATTTACCTCCCCCCAATAAACAAAGCATCATACAGTGATCATCTTAAAAATTTAGAACTTGTAAGTGCAAACTTGGCATGTCTCAAGCATCATTCAGATTAAAAGTATTCTGAAGGTCAAAGAAGAGGCATGTAAAAACTTGGATGCTGAGGAAGATGTTTTTCCCATTGCTGTTACTGTCGATAGTACTTGGCAAAAACGCTAGTGGTATTCTTCCTTGAATGGTGTGGTATTTGTCATGGCAGTTGAGACAGGGGAGGTTCTAGATTATGAAGTAAAATCCAAGTTTGTATTGAAAATAGTGAATGATGCAATTACACCATTCATGAATATTCCAAGAAAGAATCTGCCACAACAAAATCAGATTTTGATGGTTTTAGTGTGCCTATGTCTCAACCTACCATTTGAGTACCTTAGCATGCAAACTGGCATCTCCCAGAGTACCATTCATTCTTGGTTTCAGAAAGTAATTGATATAATGTATAGAAAACTGAAATTCCTTATTCATTGGCCTGACAGAGAATTCATCAGACAGACACTCCCGCCAGTATTTAGAGCCCAGTTTCGAAGACTAACGTCTATTGTAGACTGCTTTGAAATATTCATTGAGCGTCTTGCTAATTTGAAAGCCAGAGCCCAAGTGTATTCAAATTTTAAAAAGCACAGCACCGTAAAATTTTTCACATGCTGCAGCCCTCTAGAAGCAAGCACCTTCTTGTCACCTGCTTGGGGAGGAAGAGCCACTGGCAACCATATTGTTTGTCAGTCAGGCTTCATCCATTCTAAATATCATGAATTTGGTTACCAAATACTGGCAGATAGAGGGTTTACTTTGGTTGATGACTTTGCAGTTGCCTGTTAAGCAGAGCTTGTCAGTCCTAGCTTCACAAAAGGGAAAAAGCAATCGTGCAAAGGAGGTAGAGAATACGAGAAAAATTGCTAACATCAGAATTCGCATCAGAAGGGTCATTGGCAACTTGAAGAGGAGATTTGGAATATTATCTCAAGGGTCTCTTCCAATTAGTTTAGTGAAATCAAAAACTAATGAGCTAAATGATGATGACTATCCAAATATTGAAAAATTGATAACAGTTTGTGCATGTCTTATTAACCTAGCACCCAGCATTGTATATAAGGACAGTTTTGTTACATATAAGGACATTTTATTCAAGTTTTGTTACAAAAATTTAATGGTTAAACATAACAAAATAAGACGATAGTTGCATAGCCACTTTCCTTTTGGGGGCCGCCCCATACTGATGCAAGAGAAATGAAACCATTCATATTTGCAGGATGGATTGTCACATCCAATCATGTTTTCTTCTCTTGTATAGGCTTTTGATATATACAGTACAATTTCATTGTAGGGGTTCTTTCTTTGGATTTTTCCATTTCCTTTTCTTTTTCAATTTTCCTTATAATTAGCTCTTTGGCCACACTGCTTTTATGAAATTTGACAAGACTGTCAATATCATTTTCAAAAGTCTTGTCATGCCACTTTTGTTGCATAGCAAAACTGGGGAGCCCAAACAACAAGGAAACATGTTTCTATCTCATATACAGCCATTTGCATCTGCACTTAGATCATGTATTTGTGTTTAGTTTTTAATAGGAGATTTTCATTTAGGCAAAAATCTTTGTCAGCAATACATTCTTCAATGTTTTTTTATCTCTGTGGCTGTGTGGGCATATAACTTCAATAAGAAATTCACCATGGCAGACACATTTCCCTATAGCATCTGAAGAAGCACCTAGAACAGGAAACCGGTTGGGTAATCTGATTCCAGATTTACTTATAACTACAACTTCATGCTTCCTTTCTAGCTGGCAAGAAAATTCCCTTATGGCATTTTCCTCATTCTTTTTCCCCCAAATAATTGAGGGAACTGGGATAAGTATGCTTGTCAAACAAATCTTCAAAATTAGAGACTCTGATGGCCTTTCTTGATTTGTATGCAAGACGCAATTGATGCTGTAACTCCGAACTTGTCTCCAGGCAACTGAATCACTCTGACCTAAGGTTGCATGCTCAATAAAGGCAATGTCATCTTTCGTAACTTTTTCTTCATACATTGACTTTATTATGAACTCAATGTCATCTGTATCAAGACTGTAATAGCTTCTCAGAGGTTTAGGAAGTTTGGGAATTAGAGGCGAGGCTTCTTTCTGGTGAAAAGAAGCTGAAAATTGACTAAAAAGACTCAGTCCAACTGGCTGACCCTTAGCTGGTAGACTCTTCAGTCTTCCAAGAATATTGTTTTGTTGTAGCTCTGATGAGCATGAAAGTGTTGTGCTCTTGGGCTAGGAAGTTCTTTTTTCTGAATTTCTATACAATAGAATATCTTTGACCCGGGCATCTTGTATTTCAGCAACAAATTCGTTATTCCATTCACATGACCTTGATGTGCAGGCAACAGACGTATACCCAAGTCGAACTGCTGCCTCAATTTTAGATAACAGTGCAACAATTTGAGAGCAGGACTCTCCAAATCTGAAAAAAGAAGTAGCATTAAACTCTAAGAATTAGCAAATATTTTTGAAAAAAGACATCATGTTAAAAAAATTACTCAATTACTTTGTTTCCTTACATTGCTTAGTATAATTGCTTAGTATGCTTTCACTCTAAATAGGCACCCACCTTTATACCTTGGTTTGTCTTTAGTAAGCCATTATCAAATTTTTATGAAACCACATTTTTCTACTAGGGCTAGTAAGAAAGGCAGCAAGCGAAGTTCTCTTGAAAAAAGAAAGAAAACTTTGTATTGCAACTTCTCGTAATAATTTATGTAGGTTTCATTGCCCCCCAACCCCCATGGCCAATATCCCCTAAAATAAACTTCAAACATAATTAAAATCTTAACAAGTTCACTATATTCATTGTAATTTTAACCTTATCTCCAGATCATCGAGTCACCATAACATGTTCATTTACCTACCCTGCCATACCATTACAATGTCCACATATGATTGTCCATCCATTTTTGCAGCTACCCAAGGACTTAGTGGCTCCTCGTTAAGTCTTTGAGAATGAAGGACTTTAACTGAAAGTACAAAGAGGTTTTCATCAGTCTTGAGCAAAACCACTTTTTGAACCCATCCCAACTGGAACTGGTTGTATGCCTCTAAGTTTTTTCATTTGTTTCATTGCTTCTCTTGTGTTTTGGCCTGAAAGTTATCACAAACGGGGAACAATTATTGATACCTATCTGGCCTAAAAAAATCAAGAATTTGCAGAAATAGGAATAAATTTCAATCATAAAATAGAAAGAAGATCAATAAATTACCTGGAGTATTTATCAGGTATTCATAGATGTCAGGATATTCTACACTAGGCCATCCACTCATTTCACCAGATCACGAACCTTCTGGCAGACGATATGGGTATTCTTTTAGTTTAATTGCCTCCAATTTTTCAAGATATCGCTATTTTGCTACGGACGTTAATTCGTCAATGTAAGGGTAAGACATTTTCAGCCAGGAAATCGATTCTTTCACAAAATATACACACTTTTACTGACGAAGATCTATACAAGTTTTCGCGAGACGACAGCATTATGCCTTCACTCACTGATTCTGGGCGCTATGGCAACAAGCGTCTGTGACATCAAACTGAATCAATCTATTTTGAAGTGTTCAATGGAAAAGCATAAGCTAAAATACACTACTTATGTAGGGGATGGAGACTCTTCATCATTTGCAAAGTTTCCACGGCATTGTTTGAAGAATATGGCTCAGAATACCAAATTTCCAAGAAAGATTGAATTGGCCATATACAAAAGCACATGGGAAGCAATCTAAGAAAATATATAAATAAATGTAAAGGCAGAAAGCTTGAAGATGGTGCTACAGTTGGACGACATGGTAGACTCACTGATGCAGTTATAGATTTCATTCAAAACTATTATGGTCTTACTATTCGCAACAACATTGGCAATGTAAAAGCCATGGAAACTGACATCTGGGCAATCTTTTTTCCACATGATAAAGGGCCAAAATGAGGACTTTGCTGTGCAACACAAGTTCTGTCCTTCTGGAAAGGATTCCTGGTGTAAATACCAAAAGAGATATTACAAGCAAACAAATAAATACAAATGTAGCAAATATGAAACACCGCAATACGCCGAGAATAAACAACAATAAAAACACCTAAATCAGTAAATACAAGTGTTCGCCCTGGCATACGGGGCTTCATCAGAGCAAAAGTTAACGGGCTAAGATTTTTTTTTCTAAAACAAATAAATACAAGCCATCAAAGTGCCTACCTAATGTGTTCAGAAATCAATTGAAGCCAAAATTTGAAAGATTATCTGAAAAGTCACTTTTAGAACAATGCCTGATGGTTACACGCAAAATCAGAATACCTACCCAAACCCATTGGGTTACCTACCCAAAGCCCCAGCTGCCAGTTCTTGCACCTACAATCCGTGCAAGCTCCTGCACTGTTGCCAACTTTGTAAAGGGCTTCACCTTAAATTTATGTGCCCAAGGAACACGTTTCCTACTAGTCAGTCAGGGCCCCAGCCTGTGGTCAAGCATGAGTCCTCTTTACCAAGCAAGCTATCTCGTAAATTACTGCCTTCTGATAGCCAACCTTCGTCATGTTTTTCCATTATCTGTTTGCAAATCTATGTATAGTTTACCTGAACCTATGTCGATCACGCTTTTACATATTGACACTTGCATTAAATTTTTAATGGATTCAGCTATTGATGATACAAGCTGGGTTTTTGAGAGTCTGAAGCACGGTTTTTTATTGGGTATTCATTCAGCTTCCACTATGTCTGCCAAATGCAATTGCCCTTCAGCTTACCAACATCCTGAAATTATTAACAATTACTTGCAGGAAGAGCTACGAGCTCGATCCATGCCTGGGCCCTTCCCTGCTTAACCTATATAGAATCTGCAGATAAATCGTTTTGGGGTTATTCCCAAGTCTACACCAGGAAAATTTAGGCTTATTACAGACCTATCGTTTCCAAAAAAGGAAGTTTTAATGACTTAATTTCTGACAATGAAGGAACCACTTCTTGTGCTGGCATTCCGGAAGCAATACAGTTAATTATGCGGCAGGGTAAAGGATGTATGTTGGGAAAATTTGACCTTTCTAGGGCGTATCAACTTCTACCCATATACCCCACTTTGCATTGCCTTTTTGGCATGTTTTAGCAGGGCCAATTTTATATCGATTTCGCCGTTCCATTTGGCCTAAGATCAGCTCTTACTCGTTTTGTGGATGTGCTGCAATGAATTTTTAAACAAAAGGGTGGCGTCGCGTACATTCTGCATTATTTAGATTGCAGGGCTCTGGCCTCAACCCAGGCACATGACTCACTAACGACTTGTGAACAACTTTGCGTGGCCCTGGGGATTCCATTGGCAAGAGAAGAAACAGAAGGTCCTTCCACCAACAAAACTTTTTTGAGTTTACACTCGATACCCTTAAGCAAGAACTCTGTTTACCGCCTCCTAAACTTCGCAAGATTAGGGCCTCTCGAAGAAATTGGCTACATCATAGTTCATGCACAAAACATGGGCTCCTTACGTTAATAAGAGTGCTACAACATTGCTGCCAGGCTATTGTTCATGATAGGCCATTTTTATGCCGGCTTATTGATACGTCTTGTACAGTAGAGGAACTACATTTTCATGTGTTTCATGTGTGTTTCTACAGTAGAGGCAGAGGAAATGGACTGATTTTGTAAAGAGAAAGAGAGCAAAATGGACAGATACCAAGTTTTCTGTGGTCTGTTCAGAACATTTTCTACCGACAGACTTTGAAAGACAGTTCGCATCGGTACCTGGATTGGAATCTTCGTATAGGAGGCGCCTAATCACTGATGAAATCGGTATAGCAGTTTTCCTCTCTGTTCAAGAACCCAAGAAGCGATCAAACACCGTGATATCTGTGAGGTTCATTTTCAAATTTCCTACAGGCAATCAATTGTAATAAACGGAAATGACATTGTGAAGACACTATCTCGACCAGAAATTGATTGTTTGTGTCTCTTTCAGTTGTTAAAGAATGCAGCCTCCACGGCTACCGATGTCCTCACTTCTACTGCTGATCCCATTGACACTGAACAAGCAGATATGCCACTTGAAATGGACGCCCCCGTAATGGTTAGTGCATTTAGCAATTATAGTATCATGGGCCCTCTTCGTCGGAGGCCCTGAGTATTTATTTATCTTCTGTCAAATTTTGATAATATTTACATCATAAGTTAACAAACTAAAATTTGCATCAATTTTAAGGATAACTCAACAATTCCAAAAGCCAATGACTTTGCTTGTCAAGCGGAGTCGATACTAGCGGATTATTCCAAGTGTACAGACCTCTAGCAACAGGTGCGGAAATACAAGGTCCAATGGATGGGAACAAATTTCAAATTAAAAATATCGAGGCTTGAAATGAAAAAAGGTGAACCTTTTTTAAACACTTTAATTTGACATGGATCAGTAAGGTGGCTACTTTGATACATAAGCAAGGGCTAGGCAATTTACTTTGAAACTAGGACGAAATTGAAAGGGTGGTATTTTCAAGAGCCGACCCAACCAACATTTTTGGAATGGAGCTTGGAGCAGATGATGATGTTGCTGATGACGATGATGATTATGATCCTGGTGAAGATTTTGATTATGACAATGATGATGGGGGTTTTGATAATGATGATTTTGATGATGGTGATTTGGATGATGGTGATTTTGAAATTTTTGATGAAAATGTTTGCGAAGAGATGGAGGAGGTGCAATCAGATGACTATGGGCTCCCAGTGTAAAACAATTTAAAGACACTAATGACTCAAAAACAATTTAAATTGGGTTATATTAAAACTATGTTACTAATGAAGTTGGCATTCAAAATGGTTTTTAAAAGTCTGTTTGATAGTAGAATATATTGATAGTAGAATGTATATGCTAGCTTTGTGGGTAATTGGTTTTCAAGTTACCCTAGGTGCAGGGTTGCCAGATTTGCATGATGGGAATAGCGCCAAATTGTTGAAAAAATCAGCCAGATTAGTTAAAAAAATAGCCAAAATAGTTCTCCTCCGCAGAAACAGCTCAATTATGGGCAGTAAGCAATAAGGAATTAAATTATGGCCAATCTAATCACTTTTCTAACCAATTATACCAAGCAAAAGCAACAAAATAAAGAAAAATGCTTAAAAGTTGTCCAAAATAGTAATATAATCGTCTTCATCTTCCTTATTAGTTGAATACATAATGTCTGACTTGAACAATGAGACCATTTTCTCAGTCACTTCAAAGTCTCTGCAGCATTTCTCCCCAAAATGTAGATTAGTGCGGATGCCCAGTATTGCTTCTAGCATTTCAATTGACATTCTGTTTCGCTGCTTTGTCTTGATGTTTGTGACATAGGAGAAAATTCTTTCTACTATGGCATTGCTTGTTGGTATGGTGAGACAGGCCAGGGCATATGATGCAAGGTCTTTGAACGATTGCTCTCCCATATTGTTCTTATACATAAGTATAGCAGACCAGAAATCTACTGCTCCTTGGGGAATACCATTGCTGAAAGTCACCTCATCTTTCCAATTCACCAGGATTATTTTGCGATACTGGTTGTCTATTTCGGACATGTTTTCCGCCATCAAGTGCTGCATGGGTAATTTGAGTATGGGTACTCTTGATACTTGACTCAAAACACATGATGGTTGCAAGAAGCTAAGATCTCAAAATATCTCACTTGAGAATGGCATGCGCTGACTGAGCTGGCTTGCTGCTTCAAGGAGCATTTTATGGCATCTGGTTTTCATATCAGCTATTTTCAAACGCATGTTGTTGTCGCCTTTATGTTGCTCCGTCAATAAACTGGCTTCGAAAAGAAATTTTGCTCCAAACTGAACATCTTTAACTGGTAATTCTGTTCCAGATGATGTCATCACTCGACACTTGAAACTGTCATAGAATAGCTTGAGGTCACTCATCATATCATATGGCTCAAGGTTGGTAGCTTGAAAGAACGCGTTTACTTTTTCAAACTCTCCAACGATGGGGCAAAGAAAATGGAAGTAAAGGAGATTTATCGGATCTTTCAACAGATCTGATATCAAACGAGCTTTGAATCGAACCTGAGCATTTCCTTCAAGCTCTGCTATCGAGAAGTACGATTTCAATTCATGCCAGTTGACTAAAATGTTATACCGAACTTTCCCTCGAACCAACCAACGTGTTTGTGACATCTTTTGGAATGGGCGGGGCATGCTTGCACTTTCTGAATTTTCGTTAATTATTTCGAACAACTTGCTGTATGCTTCACGTCTCAAAATACTTTTGGAAAACCATTTAGGGATTTCGCTAAGCATAAACCCTAAATGTGATGGCATTTGCTCAAAGGCATGCTTGATACAAAGTGCTAGTGAATGACAAATGCACTTCATCAGGATGCAATTAGGTGCAGCTATCTTCATGCGAGACCAAACTGAGTCATGCTCCCCCACTATGGCTGATGCTCCGTCACTGGCAAATCCAACAAAGTCAGTTATTTTTAGCTTTGAAGCTTCAAGACAATCTTTTGTTGCTTGAAATAAAGCTTCACCAGTTGCATGGGTAACTGGTATCAAGCCAAGGAAAGAGGTAGTTATGTTCTGTTCTTTCTTACTAAAATAGCGGACTGTAATACACAAACATTTAATGCAGGCAACATCAGTTGATTCGTCAATCATAACGCAATACTTCTCACCTTCCATATCGTTACAAAGTTCTTCGTGTAATGCCGGGGAAATAACTTTTTTGATTAAAGATGTACACTTTGATCTGTGTAGCTTCATTTTCTCTAACTTTGAACCAGCTCCATTGCTAGCTATCAACTCCCCAAGATGATCAATTGAGCTTATTGAAGTATGAAAGGCAATAGCTACTGCGAATTTTAATTCCATGCTTTTTTTCTCAGCGCTATCTTTTGGACGAGGTGGAAAGAGTTTCTTGGTGCTGGAAACCGAACCTGCTGCCTTTATATGTTTGGATGTGTCTTCATGATTCTTAAGATTTGATAATCGAGGCTGGATGTTTACACAACAAAAGGAACAATATGCCATTTCAGAACCATCTGCAGCTTTTTTTACCCATTGATGTTTTCTTTGCCATTCGGGCTTGAATTTCCTTGAATCATCATAATTCCCTTTCCATTTTGTTTCTCTAGAATGCTTACTGAAACTCATTTCTAACTATCACAGTGTTTCAAGAGACTGGTGTGTGTGCTCTGAGATTTGTTTTGAAGGGTTTAGAAAGGCACCATTAATAAAGCATTTTTATTCTTTGCCGTGCCGAATTTCCCATGAATTACAGGAACAGGCTTGGCCAGACTGTTTATTTTGCATTTTAACATAATAAGATATTCAACCTTTTTGGAATAACCCTTGAATTCTTGACAATCGAAAAAAGTCACGCAATCTTACCAAAAAGGAAGCACGCTGCTCGAATGCAACATTATAAAAGAAGAACACGTCACTAATTACTAGTTACAGCTATTCATGACGAAATGATACCAAGCACAGGAAAAAACTCGTAATCTATATTGACAAGTGTTATTCACTTTGTCTCCTATTCACCACACGAAATACCGGCAATACATTCTAATCCAGACACACAGGGTACACACCTTCTCCAGAACTTCTTTTCCAGAAGAGAAGAAATATAATTATCGCTAACAATTTTTATTTAAAGCTTTGTTTTAAAAAAGCCAAAAAAAGCCAGAATATAACAAAACGCCAAACTTAATTTTATCAAGCCAAAGCATTCTAGAAAAAGCCAAAAGTGAGCAATCTGGCTTTAAAAAAGCCAATCTGGCAACCCTGCCTAGGTGTGGTCTAGAAACACTCAATTGCAGTAGAATATTGCGGATTAGAATCAGAGTTGTGATCTATCTGCCAGATAAACCACCCCATTTATGCTTCACTATCATGATAGGAAGAAACCAATAATTCATAGAAAATTATTCAGCCAAGAAATTACTTTTTTCTTTCTAGAAATGACAACAGTGAAAGAAATTGGAGAAACCAGCCAAAGTTTATTGTTTTTTTAACACAGCTTATGGCCCTTTTCAAATTTTGTCGAAGCTGCAAGTCAGCAAACCCATTAGTCGAACTTGAAAAAGTTGGTACGATGTCCAAAATAAAGATTACTTGTGGAAATGACCATTGTCAACAACGGCATAACAGTTGGAATAGTCAGTCTTATTGGGAAAATACAAAAATTCCTGCTGGGAATCTTCTCCTTTCGTTAGCCATTCTCCTAGCTGGTGGATTGCCTAGCAAGATTCTCCACACGTTGAAAATAATGTATCACACTACCCACATTCTTTCGTCATCTAAGGGTTTGTAATTAAGTCAATGATTACTAAAATATTTATCATTTATATTTATCCTACTTTTGGGCTTGGCATGTGAGAGATTTGAATTTATAGAGACTAAGAATGTAAAGAATTGTATTAAAGATTTAAAATTAAATATCAAAAATTTCAGATTTTTACAGACAGCTATGATCAATTTGTTGTCGAAATCATTCTCAGGTTAGGTGTTTAAAAAAACAATTTCCATCACATACCATTATTGTGATCCATTTTAATCTGAAAAGTATATTTCTTCTACATCTTTGTAAAATAGATACAAATTATACTGAAAGTTTTTAATGATTTAACTTCCTTTTAAGGATTTCTTGTTTCCATCAATTCACCCTCACAGGGTCAACTACAAGCAAAAACTCATCTCTGAGTTGAAAAGTAAGGGGAAGAGCTTGGTTTTGGCAGGTGATGGACGCCACGATAGCATGAGTCACAGCGCCAATTACGGGGCATATACTTTGATGCTTTGCACTGTTCCCACAATTATTCATTTTTCCCTTGTCCAGGTGTGTATACCTTTCTAAACTTTTAGGTTTTATAATGTGTTTTGTATTTTTCGAATACCCTTGATTACACTTCACATGTGTCAATTTTGTTGTTGATAATATTGCTTTTCATTGGCTTGATTTTCCTTTTCCCTAGGTAAGAGAGAGGGGAATTTGAAAAATCAAAAATGTGAACTTATGTTTTCATTTATTACCTGCTAATTGAATCCCATCTATTATACAGAGTAACGAAGTTAATGGAAGCTCAGCAATGGAGTTTGAAGGATTCCTCCGAAGTATGACATACTTGTTTGGTGTTGGACTCACGATGTCAGCATTTATTTCTGATCGGCACTGCTCTATTGCAAAGCACATGAGGGAAAAATTACCAACTGTGAGCCACTACTTTGATTTGTGGCATTTAAAGAAAAGTGAGTGATTAATTTTCTCTTTTTCTTGTGTAAATCTTTTTCTCAAAGTTTGCATTCCCACAAAGTATCGATGCACTTTGCATTCCTTCCTTATAAATGTTAATGATGCCTCTACTTTGATTTGTGGCATTTAAAGAAAAGTGAGTGATTAATTTTCTCTTTTTCTTGTGTAAATCTTTTTCTCAAAGTTTGCATTCCCACAAAGTATCGATGCACTTTGCATTCCTTCCTTATAAATGTTAATGATGCCTCTACTTTGATTTGTGGCATTTAAAGAAAAGTGAGTGATTAATTTTCTCTTTTTCTTGTGTAAATCTTTTTCTCAAAGTTTGCATTCCCACAAAGTATCGATGCACTTTGCATTCCTTCCTTATAAATGTTAATGATGCCTCTACTTTGATTTGTGGCATTTAAAGAAAAGTGAGTGATTAATTTTCTCTTTTTCTTGTGTAAATCTTTTTCTCAAAGTTTGCATTCCCACAAAGTATCGATGCACTTTGCATTCCTTCCTTATAAATGTTAATGATGCCTCTACTTTGATTTGTGGCATTTAAAGAAAAGTGAGTGATTAATTTTCTCTTTTTCTTGTGTAAATCTTTTTCTCAAAGTTTGCATTCCCACAAAGTATCGATGCACTTTGCATTCCTTCCTTATAAATGTTAATGATGCCTCTACTTTGATTTGTGGCATTTAAAGAAAAGTGAGTGATTAATTTTCTCTTTTTCTTGTGTAAATCTTTTTCTCAAAGTTTGCATTCCCACAAAGTATCGATGCACTTTGCATTCCTTCCTTATAAATGTTAATGATGCCACTACTTTGATTTGTGGCATTTAAAGAAAAGTGAGTGATTAATTTTCTCTTTTTTGTGTAAATCTTTTTCTCAAAGTCTGCATACCCACAAATCATCGATGCAACTTTGCATTCCTTCCTTATAAATGTTAATGATGCTTTGTTTCAGAGGTTCGAGAAATTCTAAACAAAATAGCCAAAATGAAAGGATGCGAGGAGTTGTCAAAATGGATCAAGCCCTGTGTACTTCACTTGTTCTGGAGTGTCAAAACTACATTTAACGGCAATGGTGATGTCATATTTGTGAAGTTCAAAACATTTCTCCAACACATTAAAAACATTCATGAAGGATTTGATGACCCTCTTTTTGACAAGTGCCTCCATAGCAAGGATATCTCAACAAAAATGTTGTTAAAAGAAGGTCAGTACTAGCCATCAATTACTGTTTATTTTGACTATCATGAAGAATCAAAGCACCAAACTAGCACTGTAGCAACCATATTTTTATCTTGGTCTAATCCTCTTTCAATTGATAGCTGTAAAGTTTTGTACAAAATTGCTAATGAGAAGATGGAAAAGGCATTACTAACTGACAGCCTAATTAAAGGTAGAAAAAAGGCTTCCCCTTTGGCACAGACAAGCTGTTTGGAGGCATTCCATTCCGTTCTTAACCATTTCTGTCCTAAAATGATTAATTTTTCACACCCTGGAATGTATTGTAGGCGAGTTACCTATCATACCTTTCATAATAGA